AAACAAAAAGATACAGCTTAACCCCTGACCTTCCTACTAAGTTAAGATTTCATGTTGAAATGCTCTTTAACTGGCTTGTATGTGGATTCCAGTTCTCATCGTGGCCACAGAGACTTCAGATGTGTATTTTTTCCTAAATATGCCCTGTCTCAGACACTCTTCTCTCTCTCTCTAGATGGTAGAGGCGATACTTCTAGTTACTTACCTGAATGATTGTGTTTTGAGTAGCTTGATTTTAACTGTACATGATTCCTTCCCTTAGCCCTCCTTTCAGGCAAATATTTAAAAAATTGAGCCGAGTTTGGGGATTGGTTATTTCTCTCAGTGTCTTATTGGGAATGGATCAAAAGAAAAATTGAAATTACCTGAGAATTTCTGATGTCATTTGTCTTAATGTTTCCTGGGATGAACCGAGCCCGTGTCCCTCACTCACAGGTGCCTCCAATCTCCTGGTAGAGTGGGTGCAAAACCTGCATTTGAAGTGTGGCCTCTTTACACTTTGGGGGTGGTGTAGTGGAACCCAGGGGTGTGCAGTGACCAGGTGTGCTGTTCTTGAGCTTGAGTTGAAGGTGCTGTGCAGAGGAAGGTTTGGAAGGTGTGTTTCTGCCCAAGTCATGTGGTTCCTGGTCAGAGGTGTCCAGGGGCATTGAGTCCCGTGCTCAGTGGGCTCATTTGTACAAGTGTGAAAACTAAAAAGGAAATGGAAAAATAAGCTAACGGTCTTTTCGCCTCACTGAAAAATGTTGAAGTTCATGTTCTTCCCAGTTTAGATCCATCCTCCACCCCCCCTTCCATTCTGGTGTGTTTGAATGTTCAGACTGTCCAAGAGACTCCCCAGGACCAGCAGGGTGGTATTTCCCAGGAGCCTCCATGGCTGTGTAATTTGCATACACCATTTTTATCAAAGGAAAATAAATGCGCACAACCATCTGTCTCCCTGCATCCCTGTCTCATCCTTGCCTGCCTTGGCTCAGACGGGCCAGTTCCCAGTTACTTGGGATTAATCTGTGCTGTCCTGTCCTTCCCTCCTGGCCAGGAAACCTCTGACACTTGAGGAATGCTGCTGGAGCTTCTCAAACACCGGCCCTAAAGTGCTGGGTTTGGAAGCTCCTTTGAATTAGAATTGGCAATTAGCAGCTGTTGGAACCGTTGAGAGCTTGGGAGTCAGTGTTATTTGAGAGTTTTGAGTTTCTTCCAGTGTGGGAGGATTGGGCAGAGAGGGAGGTTTGCTGCATACCTGTAAAACCTGCTGCACCCAGCTGGAATTGGGATGGATGGGTGTTGGTGTTGCTGAGTGTAGGTGGTGGTGGTGGAGAGAACACGGGGCTGGAAACACTCCTGCCTCTGTGTGTGCACCCTAATGAGCCTGCAATCCCTTGGAGGAGGATTTAGAAAGCAGCTTTAACCTCTTCTGGAGGCTGTGCACAAACGTGTGCAGTGCTTTGTGCACCTCAGACATGGGAAGTTGGCACAAAGCTGTGTAGGGATGGGGCTGGAGGTCCCAACTGACACTGGCAGGGTCAGAGCTCTTCCCAAATGTTACTGCTTGCAGCTCAAGACAGGCTCCTGAAAGTGCCTGTGAGCCTTGGGATCTCTTCAGTGTCCCTTGATGGCACTAAAGTCTGCACAAGCCAGCTCTTGTAAGGAATGTGCTTGTGAGAGGATGGATGGATGGATGGATGGATGGATGGATGGATGGATGGATGGATGGATGGATGGATGGATGGTGCATGCAGGGAAGGGAGGGTGCACAGGGAGTGGGGATACAGCCCCATGGTGAGTTTGAATCCCCAAGGAGCAAAATTAGTCCCAGCAGTGTTTCTGGCCAGGCAGAAATCATCCTTCCACCCCCTCAGCGTGCCAGCAAGGTGTGATGTGGTGTCAGGCACCACAGTGCAAGGGCTCTGTGTGTGCTGGAACAGGGACTTGGAGGGATGGAGCAGGTTGGTGACTCCAAAGCTGGCTGGAAATGAGTCCCTGCGTGGTGGAGGAATCCTGCTGCAGTGGGTGCACATGGCTGTGAAGCACTGAGGAGAGTCCTCAGGAGTTTGAGAATTCCCGAAAGGTTTGGGTGGGAAGAACCCTCATAGCTCATCTCATCCCACCCCCTGCCATGGGCAGAGACACCTTCCACTGTCCCAGGTTGCTGCAAGTCCCATCCAACGTGGCCTTGGACATGTTCAGGGATGGGGCAGCCACAGCTGCTCTGGGGCTCACCACCCTCACAGGGAGCAATTTCTTCCCAATATCCGGCTTAAGTCTTCCCTCTTTTGGTTTAAAACCATTTCCCTTTGTGTCATCATTATCTGTCCATATAAAAAGACTTTGTCCATCATTTTAACAAGTTCTCTTTAACTCCTGAAAGGCCACGGTGAGCCCTCACAGGCTGTCCAGTCCTTGGTGTCTCTTGCCTGTTTAAGTGGGAAAACAAATTTCTCCTGTCTCTCCACATTGCAGCACCTGCTCTTGTGCCACTTTGGGCTCATTCCTCCCCTGCTGCCAGCCCACCAGCCAAGATGCTGAAACAGAGACACAGGGCAGCCCGCAGCCTTTGGTGCCCATCCAGTGCCACCTCCCCCAGCAGCCTGGCAGAGCTGCCCAGTGCTGCTCCCAGGGCTTTGCTGCCCTGCTGGTGGACAGGGAGGAGAGGTGGAGGGTCGGGGCTGCAGCCCTGGGGGGTGGGACAGCCAGGCTGGGGTCACTGGGAGGGGACTGGTGTCACCGGGAGGGGGCTGGTGTCACCGGGAGGGGGCTGGTGTCGCCGGGAGGGGGCTGGTGTCACTGGGAGGGGGCTGGCCGGTGGATGCAGCTGGGTCTGGTCTTTGGTACCCACGGGGTGCAGACCCAGCCTTCCCAGGCTCCGGAGGAAAAGGAGCTTTGAAGGCCGGTGAGAAGGAGCCTTTGAGTGAAATCTTAATCCCTCCAGAGCTTTCCCTAATCCCTGGTAATGTGCTGTTCAAAGGCCCACTTCCAAAGGAACCACTGCACTTTCTCACTCCCGTATCCCTCCTTCCCCAAGGAGTTGCCCAAAGGTGTTCTCACTGGCTGTTTCCTCTCATTTTCCTCTGATACATAGAATTAATTATTTTAAAACATAATGAATGAAGTGATTTCAGCAGCAGGTAGTGGCAAATCCACTGATTGATTGGGAGAGATTTCTGCTGTCAAGGTTATATTTATACTTCATTCACCCCCCCTTTCCTTGGAGGGGATCTGCAGCCTTTTCTCCCAATGTCCCAATGTAACACTTCCAACTTTGAAATCAAAAATGTGGAGGAGAGAAAGATGGCAGGAAACCAACATCTACATTCCTTTCAATAAACTATATTTTTTGTTACCAAATTCCATGGTATGGGCAGTTTCCTGTGGCCACAGCCCTGACTATGGAGGGGCAAGTTCAAAGTGACTCAAGAGAAGGTCAGGAGGGAAATATCCTGGGGTTAGGAGCTCGAGGAGTACAACAGCTTGGAAAATGTGTGTGTATGTGTGTGTGTCTGTGTGTGTGTGTGTCTGTCTGTCTGTCTGTCCCCTGTCTGTGTGTGTACAGGGCAGAGTCAGCTCTGTGTGTGTGTGTGTGTGTACAGGTCACCCCTGTCTGTGTGTTTGTCTGTCTGTCTGTGTACAGATCACCCCTGTGTGTCTGTCTGTCTGTCTGTGTGTGTGTGTATACAGGTCACCCGTGTGTCTGTCTGTCTGTCTGTGTGTGTGTGTATACAGGTCACCCGTGTGTCTGTCTGTCTGTCTGTGTGTGTGTGTATACAGGTCACCCGTGTGTCTGTCTGTCTGTCTGTCCCCTGTCAGTGTGTGTACAGGGCAGAGTCACCTCTGTGTGTGTGTGTGTGTGTCTGTGTATGTACAGGTCACCCATGTGTGTGTTTGTCTGTCTGTCTGTGTGTGTGTGTATACAGGTCACCCGTGTGTCTGTCTGTCTGTCTGTGTACAGGTCAGCTCTCTGTGCATCTGTCTGTGTGTGTACAGGTCACCCCTGTGTGTGTGTCTGTCTGTGTGTGTGTGTACAGGTCACCCCTGTCTGTCTGTCTGTCTGTCTGTCTGTCTGTCTGTGTATAGGTCACCCCTGTGTGTATGTGTGTTCCTGTGGCACACCCAGCAGGGGTGTGTGCATGGCTCAGCTGAGGAGGGCTGGGTGTAGGGTGTGTCACGTCCACACACACGAGTGTGTCTGAGTGTGCAGCCGTGTGTGCGTGTGCACGGGGCTGTGTGCGTGTGTGTGACACGTCCATGTGTGTGAGCACGGCTGCAGATGTGGGTATGGGTATGTGTGCACATGTGTGTGCATGGTTTTGTTTGTGTGTGTCCCCGTGTCCGTGTGTCCCCGTGTCCGTGTGTCCCCGTGCCTGCGTATCCCCGTCCCCGTGCCTCCATGTTCATGTTTCATGTCGCCATTGCCCCTATGTCCCCATGTCTGTGCAACACCCTGTCCCCTTGTCCCTATCCATGCCCCCGTGTCCCTGTACCCCCCTGTCCCCATGTGTGTGTGCGTGTGCACGGGGCTGTGTGCGTGTGTGTGACACGTCCATGTGTGTGAGCACGTACATGTATGTGCACGTGTGTGAGCACGGCTGCAGATGTGGGTATGGGTATGTGTGCACATGTGTGTGCATGGTTTTGTTTGTGTGTGTCCCCGTGTCCGTGTGTCCCCATGCCTGCGTATTCCCGTCCCCGTGCATCCCACGCCTCCATGTTCATGTCTCATGTCGCCATGGCCCCGATGTCCCCGTGTCCGTGTGTCCCCCTATCCGCATGTCCTTATCTCTGTCCCCGTGTCCGTGCACCCCCCTGTCCCCATAACCCTATCCCTGTCGCTGTGTCCCTGTGTCCCCCCATCCCCATGTCCCTACCCCTGTCCCCGGTTCCGTGTGTCCCCATGTCCCCATCCCTGTCCCCAAATCCCAGCCCTGCCCACTGCCCCGCCCCACCCTCGGCCCCGCCCCTCGCGCATGCGCACAGCCCTTTCCGGGCGGTGCGGCCGTGACCCCGCCCCGGCCTCGTGCGCCGGTGTCGGGACACACCGGGACATACCGGAACTGCCCCCGGGACACACCGGGACATACCGGGACTGCCCCCGGGACACACCAGGACGTGCCGGGACGCACCGGGACTGCCCCCGGGACACAGCAGGACTGCCCCCGGACCCTCCGGGCTCCGCCGGAGCCGCCGGGCCATGAGCGCCCCGGAGCCGCGGGGCCGCGGGATGCTGTTCGCCGAGAGCCAGCTGAGGCGGCACGGCTGGCGCCGAGGTGGGACCGGGCGGGGGTCCCCGCTCCGCGGCCCCGGCCTGTCCCGCCCCACCCTGGCCCCCCTGAGCACCGCCCCCTCCTTGCTGCAGGACCCGGTCTGGGGTCTCTCCCCACCCCCGGGGTCCCGCAGCCCCGGTGCCCCCGGCCGTGCAGGGGTGACGGGTGCCTCGTGTGCAGGGCAGGGGCTGGGCAGGCGGGAGGACGGCATCGCCGAGGCCATCCGGGTGAAGGTGAAGTGCGACACGGCGGGGGTGAGTGCCGATCCCCGCCCGGCCCGGTGCCCGCTGCCCACCGCAGCCATTGCGGCAGCTCCTCTGCCCCCCGCAGGTGGGACACGACGCGGCGGAGCCCTTCACCTTCCACTGGTGGGACCACGTCTTCAACAAGGCGGCCGCCAACATCGCTGTGGAGGCCGGGCAGGTGGGAGGCCTGGGGGACAGGGATGGGGTTGAAGGCAGGGGAGGGTGTTTGGGTTCCTTCGGTGACCCCTGCACTGCCACCATATCCCCCCCCAGGCCCTGGGAGGAAGCAGCACCTCGGGCAGGGGCTGTGGTGGTGGAAAGGTGCTGCTGGAGGGGTGAAACCCCTCGGACTGATCATTTCCAAGCCTTTGCCTTTTCTCACCCAGGATGGCATCTCTGTGAAGGCACTTTCTGAGCAGGCAGGCAGCATCAGCAACAAGAAGCCACGCAAGGCTGGCAGCAGCGGGAGCCTGCTGTACGGCCGCTTTGTGAAGGTAACTGGCCCCAGGAGCCTGGGGGCTGCCTGGCCCCCAGCTCATTTCTGCTGTAGCCCCCAGAGCCCCGTTTTCCTTGCTCCCCTTCCTCACAGTCCCTGTGTCTCTGTGCTGCAGTCAGCCACGCTCACAGCCTGTGGGGAGGAGGCTGTGGCACTGCCCGCCAGCTCCGAGAGCAGTCAGGAGGAGGAGGAGGAGAAGCTGGACCTCTCTTCGGTCAGGAGGTGAGGCTGGGCCTATCCCTTGATGGGGAGGGATGAGGGCTGAACGGTGGAGCCCTGCTCCAGACCGTGTTCCCCCCACAGATGCTGGGGTGACACCTCTTGTCTGTGTCCCCAGGCTGACGGACGAGGAGCTGGTGCAGGCGTGCGGGGGCCGCACAGCACACAAGTGAGTGCCTGGGGGTCAGCTGGCCGGGCTGCCCCCTCCTTCCAGGCTGGGCTGGGGACCACCTTCCCTGCTGGGGAGGTGCCAGTCCTCGCTGCCTGTGGTCATTGCAGGGGTGCCCGTCACGGCCTGACCATGAGTGCCAAGCTGGCACGCCTGGAGGAGCAGGAACGAGCCTTCCTGGCCGCATACCGGCAACGGGAGCAGCAGCAGGAGCCCCCGGAGAGCAGCCAGGGCAAAAAGAAGAAAAGGAAACAGTCCAGGGATGGAGCTGAGGTGCCACAGAGCAAGGAACCCAACACAGAACAGGAGGAGGTGTTGGAAGAAGAAAAGGTTGTGAAGAAGAAGAAAAAGAAGCAGGGGCCAAGCAGAGAAGAGGAGCTGACAGGAGAGGAAGAGGTCGTGAGGAAGAAGAAAAAGAAGAAGGTGATCACAGAGCTATGTGGAGAAGAGGTATCAGGAGAGGAGGGGAAGGTCATGAAGAGGAGGAAGAAACCAGAGCAAAGCACAGAAGAGGAGGTGGTGGAAGAGGATGGGAAGGCTGCAAAGAGGAGAAAGAAGAAAAAGAAGAAGAAGCAGGAAGAGGAGGACAAAGAAGAGCCAGCTGAAACAGACATACCTCTGCAAGAGACAGATGAGCCAAACTTGGGACACAGCCCTACAAAGAAGAGGAAGAAGAAGAAGAAGAGGAAGAAGGAGCCAGAATGAGCAAGTGACATGGCTGCCATACTGTGCACCTGCCAGTCCCACCTGGCTGTAAGGGTCCTGGTGCTGTGGGGTGCTCTGAGATTGTTCCAGATGGAGCCCAGCACTGTGGCCCAGCTGCCTGGGGATGCTGGGCTAGGACAAGTTGGTCTGGAGCTGGATCAAGCTTTACTTCACCACCTGAACCTTCAGGAGTGACCCTGGTTCCCCCACCAGGCCCTGGGGCAGAGACCCGTTTGCCATGGGCGTGTCACAGAAGAACACAAGGACACACCCTGCAGAGTACTGAACTATTTTTTCAAGGGCATGAATAAATCTTTATTGTGATCAGATTATCCCAAAGTGTGAGTGGTGCCGTGAGTGGCAGAACCCCAGCTCACCTTTACACCTGAGCACTTGGATTAGGCAGCAGCCCCAAAGAGAGCTCCCCTGCAGCCCCTCACCACTCCCACCTGCTGGGCCTTTCTACCCTGCAGGCACACACCGAAGCCCAGTGAGGTGCTGAGCACCCTCCTAGCAGAGGCTTGGGCAGAATTTGGCCCTGGTGTGCAGTGCTGAAGCCAGGCCTGGCCCCCCAGCCCCTCTGGCCCCAGCTCTAGGTGAGCTGCAGGACGCAGTCTGTGCCGGGGTAAGCTGGCAGGTTCAGAGCGTATTTCTCCTGGAGCGCAGGGGGCACAAACCTGCCCCCAAGAAAGTGGTAGCGGCCGGTGAAATGCATCGCTGCCTTCTTGGGCGCCGTCAGGGAGATGAGCATGTCGGGCTGGAGGCCGTCTGCCTTCCCCTTCTCCACATCCCAGCCTGCAACGAGCCATGGCCAGGCTGGAGCTGGGACCACCCTGGCCGGGCACCTTCCTCCGGCAGGTGCAGCCACAACTCACCTGAGGGGATGTCGATGCTGGCGATGGGCACCGTGACGCGCTCCAGAGTGCTGAGGATGCTGCCAAAGGGCTCCCGCACTGCTCCCGTGAAGCTGAAGCCGAAAATGGCATCCACCACCAGGCCATAGAGCTCGTCAATGAACGCAGCCTGCGGCGGGGATGGTGGCAGGTGAAGGGCAGTCCCGGCCAAGCTCCAGGGGAAGGTGATGCCAAGCTGGGGGCTGCTCCTCACCTCAGCTGGGAACTCGGGGAGGAAGGGAATATCCATCTTATTGCACTGGGTGGTCAAACCTTCAAAGAGGGGCTTGCTGGGGCGCTTGGGGTAATACACGGTTGGCTGGTAGCCCTGCAAGAGCAGAAGGAGCCTGAACTAATCCCACTCTGGCACCAGCAGCAGCCAGAGGAGTGGGACCCTGGAGCCCACAGGTACAGGGGTGCACAGGGACCAGCACCCTCACAGGGACCCTGTGGCTGCCTGTGCAAGACTCACAAACATCTTCAGGTGCCGGGCGCAGACCAGCCCATCACCGCCGTTGTTCCCTGGCCCGCAGACCACCAGCACAGCGGGCTGGCTCGTGGTGAAGGAGCTGGGTGGGTAGGCCTATGGGGGGCAAGAGGCACAGCGTTATGATGGGGGAGTGGGCCCACACCATGGGGCCAGGATTCACAAGACCCCCAACTTGGGACTGGCATGCCCATGGGACCGGGATGATCCCCAGGATCACCATCTGCCTTCCTGGTGCCCACCTTGGTGGTAGCACAGCTTGGTACACAATGCTAGGACCCCCAGCTTGTCGATGGGGGACAGAACTCAGCCTGTAGTGCTGGAACTCTCCCCCATGACCTCCACCCACCTCCTGGGCACCCACCCTGGCAGTGCACAGCTCAGCCCACAATGCCAGGACCCCTTCTGCCCCCCAGGACCCCCACCTTGGCAATGGCAGTGGCACAGCTCAGCCCCGCCAGCTCCATCAGCTGATCCACGCTGAACTTGTACTCAGTGAAGAGCTCCTGGTCGATAGCCTGGGCCTCCTCCTGCCTAGAGTGGGAGACGGCACCCCTGGCTACCCCAAAACGCGGCCAGGCCCAGCCTGGGGGCTGTGATCCCCTCGACTTTGCATGAGCCGGGTGGGGGGGACACACAGAGCTGAGCCCCCGTGTACATCAGCACCCATCCCGGTGTCCTGCCCGACCCCTCCGCACCCCTCAGCCCGCCCGTACCCCGTCCCGGTGCCCCCTCCGCCCCTGCGGACCGCCCGCCTGCTCTCCCGCCTCCCTCCGTCCCTACCCGAGGAAGCGGAGCCCGGTCGGGCCGGCCCCCGCGCTGGGGACGTGCATGGCGCGGCGGGGAAGGCACCGGCACCGCTCCCGGCCCCAGCCCCAGCCGCCACAGCCCGGTACGGCCCCGGAGCTCCACGGAGCAGGCGCGGGGCCGCCCCGGGGCGGAGCGCCCTTCACGGCCCGGCCAGGCCGGGGAGGAGCCGCGCAGAGGCCGCGGTGCTGTGCCGGCACTCCGGCGCTCCCTTAGCCCCCGCCGGCGCTCCCTCAGCCCCCGCCGGCACTCCGCGGTTCCTGCAGGCTCTGCCGGCACTCCGCGGTCCCTCCAGCCCCTTCCATTTCCTCCCCGGGACCCAGACATACAAAGGATGGCAGAAACGGAGCTGGGTCAAAACCGTGTTGGCTCCACGGCCTGCCCCCGTCCCCTTCCTCCCCCCAGAAGCGGCGTTTCCCCGGTGTCCTCCTGCTCACACGAGGCTGCAGACGAGGGACAGAGTCCTGGTGCCCGTGCGGGGTCCCCGGCGGGACCAGCAGCCCGCAGCAGCGGCAGTGGGGTCATCGTCAAGGCTGCAAGGTCGCGGAGGCATCACGGGGAGTGAGGGTGTCCGGCAGGATGCAAAATGGAATAATCAAATCACGGAGTCACAGACTGGTTTGGGTGGGAAGGGATCTTAAAGGCCATGTCATCCCACACCCTGCCATGGGCAGGGACACCTTCCACTGCCCCAGGGTGCTCCAAGCTCTGTCCAACCTGGCCTTGGACATTTCTAGGGATGGGGCAGCCACAGCTGCTCTGGGCAACTCATGCCAGGGCCTCCCTACCCTCACCGCCAAGAATTCCTTCCCAATATCCTATCTAACCCTGCCCTCTGGCAGTGGGAAGCTGTTCCCCCTTTTCTTGTCCCTTCAGGCCCTTGTCCAAAGTCCCTCTCCAGCTCTGTTGGAGCCCCTTTAAGCATTGGAAGGCAGGAGTGGGCAGGAGGTTCATACGAGGGTCCTGGAAACCACCCTTAGATCTGCTGCCCCATCCATGGGGCACGGTTTTGGTGTTGGCTATGAGGCACCTAAATCCCCAGTCCCTGTGACTTTTGGCTTGGGGTTGTGTCCATTCCAAGAAACAGCCCTGCTGGGGTCTCCACTCGTGAACCCTCCCCTGAGAGGACACTGCAGAGCCCAAACCTCCCTTGCCCACTCCCCCAAGCCATCACCTACCTCTCTGGAGCCCTTGGATGGAGGGTTTGGTGGTTTTGGTGCCCTGTGGGATGCAGTGTGAGCCCCTCAGGCCTGGGCTCACTGGAGAAGCGATGTTCTGGTTGTCTGTGGTACTTACGGAGCTGGAGGCCAGCATGGGGCAGCTTGGCTGGGGGCAGGGGGCTGGTGGTCCTCATGCTGAGAGACAAGTGAACCTTGTGTGGGGGTTCTGGACAGCTCCCCTGTCACATTGTGATTGAACCCTCCCTAGGATCCAGCTGGAATGACCCCAAACGCACTCCCAGAATTATGTATCTTTAAAAATCTCTGGATTTTCACCATTAAACAGGAGAGGTCCCTTGTGCTGCGGAGGTATTTGGGTGCCAGAGGCTGTACTGAGATGTCTCCCCCTTTCCCACCCACCTGTTAGCCTGGGGCTCACTGTGATACCCTGGAGCTGAGCTGGGACCATGGTCATCCTCCCCAGAGGTGCCCAGGAGGCCACTTGGGTTGCAAGGCTCCCGCGTGAGACCACCAGTCAGGGCCACTCTTGTACCTCCAGGAAGGAAGGACAAACAGGCAAGAACACAGGCTGTGCCAAAGACTCAGCTCCATCAGGAGTTGAGTGGATGGCTCAACCCCACATTTAGTTTGCAGCCTCTCACCTGAATACCTGGGATGTGCTCCTGGGGTACGCCAGTACAGCTCGTCCTCAGCCTGGGCTTTCTCCCTGGAGGACATGGAGAGAAGGAAGGCTTGTTTCCTGTTTCATCTGGTAACACATTCCAGAGGAAGGAGAGAGAGGATGGCAGCTTTCTTACTCACACCTTGCTCCCCTGGAGCCGTGTCCTACTGGCACGGGGCACTGTGGAGCAAAACCGCAGCTGGCTGGGCTCCTGATGGGATTAACGTGTTAATCTGCCCAGCAAACTCAGGCACCTCTTGCCACAACCCCTACTGGAGTCCCAGTTCCCAGCCCTCCAGAGTGTGCCATGCCCTGGGAGATGCTCACCAGGGCTGGGCTGGGTGCCCAGCCCTCCTGGTAGGACAGGTGGCCGAGGTGGAGTCGGTGCTGGATGGCATCTGTGAGCTTGTGCACGACCCGTTTGTGGGCAGCTCTGGGGCTGTCCTGGGGTGGAGAGAACCCTATATGTGTGATGGGTTAAAGTGGGTGTGCCCCAGGGCTGAGGACAGTGCCTCACGATGCACAGGAGGGTCCGGCCCTGGGGATGCCCCATCATGCCTTACCTGACAGCGGGAAAGCAAAATCAGGGCCTCCTGATAGTGCCCGATGGCTTTCTGGGGGTCTCCCAGGTGGAAGCACGCTGCACCCAGCCCCTCACACGCTTGCCACTGCCCCTGCAAGTCCCCTGGGAGGCAAAGGGCTGCGTTGGTCCCTGCACTGCTCAGCCGAGATCCCCGGCAGGCAGCATGACCCAGCTGAGTCCGCCTGGCTGCAGGGTGCTGCCGGGGTGTCCGTGCCTCCCCTCACCCGAGTCCCGGAAGGCTTGCAGGGCGTGCAGGTAGCTCTCCGCGGCAGCCCCGTGCTTCCCGAGCTGGCTGCAGGCGTACGCCAGGTTCCCAAAGCTCTGCCCCTGAGCCCTGCGGTTCCCCAGAGCGCCTGGAAGTGGGAACACAGGGCTCCATGCCGAGCTGGCACACCTGGCCAAGCCAAGAGGCAGAGACAGCGGTGCGAGTACCGTGCAGCGCGGCCGCACGCCGGTGCCAGCCCAGCGCGGGGCCGAAGCTGCGCAGGGCGTTGAGGGCAGCGCCCAGGTTCTGCAGCAGCGCAGCCTCCTGCTGCCGGTCCAGCTCCCCAGCGCACAGCCCCAGGGCCTGCTCGAAGCTCTCGGCAGCCAGGGAGAAGATGTGGAGCTGCGAGTAGCTGAGGCCGATGTCGTTGTAGAGTTTCCCTGGGGACAGAGAGGAAAAGCAGGCGTGGGAGCTGCTCCGCGGGGCCCTGAGAGTGGAGGGCGCTGCGCAGCGTTACCTCGCAGGGCCAGGTCGGGGATGGCCTCGCAGAGTGAGCGGCACCGGGCGAGCACCCCGGCGATCTCTGCCGCCCGGAACCGCCGGCTCTGCAGCATGGAGCCGCTCGCCCTGCTCAGAGCCACGGCCGCGGCCCCGGGGCTCTCCGCCGCCGCGTAGGCCTGTGCTGCATCCAGGAAGCACCGCGCGGCCCGCGCCGGCTCCCGCATGCCCAGGTAGCAGCAGCCCATCTGCACACAGGTCCCCGCTCGGCTGCCAGCCTCAGCAGCGCTGCCGTGGCCGGAGGCTTTCTCAAAACACTCCAGAGCCTTTGGAAAATCCTGGAGCCCTTCGTGAGCCGCCCCGACGCTGAAGTAAAGGCTGCCCGAGTGGTCCCCGCTCTCCGCCTCTGAGGGCTGGGACTGGAGGAGGAACTCAAAGCCCTTCTTGGGCTTCCCAGTCTCCACGTAGGCAGCCCCCAGGTTGAAGGCACAAGCCCTGTGGAGCTGGGGGCTCACTGTGTCCCTGCAGAGGAGCAGGGCCTTCCTGAAGCACCCCACTGCCTCCTGCCCGGCGCCCAGGGCCAGTGCCCGGTGTCCGGCTCGTGTGAGGCCCTCGATCGCACCCACCCGCCCTGCCGCCTCATCCCCTCCCTCCTGAGCAGCTGCCCTGGCCTCAGCCTTCTTCTTCTTCTGCCTCTTCTTGCAGCTCGTGGGGGCTGCGGGGGTGATGGTGATGGTGGGGGCAGAGGGGGCTGTGGGGTGTGTGGGGGCAGTGGGAGAAGAGGTGGCAGTGGGATGTGTGGGGGCAGTGGGGGCAGTGGGGGGTGTAGGGGCAGAGGGGGCTGTAGGGTGTGTAGGGGCAGTGGGCTGCACTCCCAGGTCAGCAGCCTCTTCCAAATCCATGGGCAGGGGCAGCAGCCTGCCTGCAAGAGACAGAGGTGCTCAGCCAGCCAAGCCAGCATGGTCCAGGCAGTGAACACTTCAAACAAGCAGCATTATTTTATATTACTTAAGGAAATTAGGGATGTCTTGTAGCCTGCTTGCTATTAAGTTTCAGGAAGGAAAAAGGCCTTTCCGTGGAGGACCCCACAAGCCTTGGTGGCCACGAGAGAGGAAAGAGGTCACTGGGGGAGGAGGAGGGACACCACAGCATGGAGTGGGATGTTGCTGGGGTGCCTTTTTGGGAGGCAGAATAAGGAGTTGCACGCACTTACTGTTTGCTCTTCAGGTGCAAAGGGTGCTGAGAGCAGGGAGCAGAGAGACAAGGCATCCCTGCCGCTGCAGGCACGGCTCTCTGCTGCGGGGATGGAGGATGTCTGAGGCGCCGCCGAGCTTGGGCTGCCTGGAAAGGTGCCTGGAGCAGGTCACAGCCCCTGGTGATGGACGGCCGGGTTCTGAGAGACGGGAGCGTGGCAGGCGGTGGCACAGGCTGGGACAAAGCCAGGCCTGCTCCTGGGAAAGCACGTCCCACAATGGCCCCGCTGGCTCCGGTTTCATCCTTGTCACCAGGGTGGTGTGTAGTGCCATGGCAACTCACTGCAGCAGTGCCAGTGTGAGCCCCGTGAGCGATGGATGGATGGGAAAACTGTGTGCTGGACAGGACAGCCGTGTAATGGATGGCACAATTATCTCAACAGTTCGTGGCAGGTGCTGGGGGCTTGTTCCATGGGGGGCAGGTTCATGCTTTGGAGCAGGCTGATGGATGGGCTCAGAGCAGCGAGGGTACAGGGCCGGGTGGCAC